ATCTCGGGCGTGCAGGCGCCGCGCTGCGGAAGCTGCTCTGGGGAGACCGCGCGCTCGCCAACGCCTTCAACGCCTTTGTCGCCATCACGCTGGGCGGCAAGCTGTACGACTCGACTCGCTCGGTTGGCCAGGCGCCCGAGAGGTGGGGAGAGGTGGGGAGAGGTGGGGAGAGGTGGGGAGAGGTGGGGAGAGGTGGGGAGAGGTGGGGAGAGGTGGGGAGAGGTGGGGAGAGGTGGGGAGAGGTGGGGAGGGATGGGGAGGGATGGGGAGGGATGGGGAGGGATGGGGAGAGGTGGGGAGGTGGCGGGGAGGGATGGGGAGGTGGCGGGGAGGTGGCGGGGAGGTGGCGGGGAGGTGGCGGGGAGGTGGCGGGGCGCGCCGCAGCTGGCGGACCTGGCACCAGCTCCCAGCCGTAGCGCGCTGAACACGGCACGCCACATGGCACGGCCGGCCGGGCCTCTGCGCTGGTAGAGTCCGCTCTTAGACTCCGCCCACCCGCTCACCCGCCCACCCCGCTTTGGGAGAGGAGCCGGGAGGGTACGGCTGGTTGGGAGAGCAGCTCACGTTGCGAGAGTAGCTTACCTGGGGAGTAGCTCACCTAGGAATATTCGCTTTCCTGGGGGAGTAGTTTACCTGGGAGAGTAGCCGGGAGCTACGCTCCCCAATCTGGCTGCTCACCCGCTCACCAGGCGGCCACATCTCCCCATCTCCCCATCTCTCCCCACATCTCCCCACATCTCCCCAGATCTCTTTGTGACGCTCGCCAGGCGGCCATATCTCCCCATGTCTCCCGATATCTCCCCATATCTCCGCAGGCGGCGGGCGACCTGCACCGCGCCGCCGCGACGCTGGAGGAAGCCGAGTACGCGCGGGCAGCCGTCGGCGAGAGACAGCCGAGAGACAGCCGAGAGACAGAGAGACAGCCGAGAGACAGCCGAGAGACAGCCGAGAGACAGAGAGGCAGCCGAGAGACAGCCGCGAGAGACAGAAGACAGAGATCGACTAGTCGGACAACTGGCAACGCCGAGTCCCGCGCGACACCCGCGTCTGAGCGCGATGCCTCCTTCGAACCGCCTGGGCGAGGGGATGTGTCTTTCTCGAAGGCGTCGCGCTGCTTACCCTTGTCGACACGATCCACTCCGTGTCGGAGAGCGTGCGCAGGGCGGGCGGCGTGACCGGCGGGCTCCCCGTCTCTCCCCATCTCTCCCCATCATCTCTCCCCATCTCTCCCCATCTCTCCCCATCGTCTCTCCCCATCTCTCCCCATCTCTCCCCATCATCTCTCCCCATCATCTCTCCCCATCGTCTCTCCCCATCATCTCTCCCCATCGTCTCTCCCCATCATCTCTCCCCATCGTCTCTCCCCATCATCTCTCCCCATCATCTCTCCCCATCATCTCTCCCCATCATCTCTCCCCATCGTCTCTCCCCATCATCTCTCCCCATCTCTCCCCATCGTCTCTCCCCATCATCTCTCCCCATCATCTCTCCCCATCATCTCTCCCCATCGTCTCTCCCCATCATCTCTCCCCATCATCTCTCCCCATCTCTCCCCATCATCTCTCCCCATCATCTCTCCCCATCATCTCTCCCCATCATCTCTCCCCATATCTCGGCGGCGTGACAGGCGGGCTCACCAAGCCGCTACGCTGCGGTGTGAGCGGCGCCTCTTCACGCGCTGCTGCCGTGAGCAGGCAAGCTGACCACGGCTCTCGAGATCTGGGGAGATCTGGGGAGATCTGGGGAGATCTGGGGAGAGAGCTACTGTGATGCGAGCTGACACGGTCTCACCCGAGATCACCCGAGATTCCCCGAGATTCCCCGAGATCGACCTGCTGCCGTGAGCAGGCCAGGACAGCCTTTCTTTTTCTTGAGCAGGCGAGCTGACCACGGCTCTCACCGGTCCCGGCACCGGCGCCAAGCTGCACGCGTCCCTCGACGAGCTGCGCCGGAATCAGGCGCGAGATCGACCCAGATCGCGCGAGATCGACCCAGATCGGCCCACGATCGCACGAGATCGCCCGAGATCGCACGAGATCGCCCGAGATCGCACGAGATCGCCCACGATCGCACGAGATCGCACGAGATTGCAGGCCGCGAGCGGGGACGCGCACGAGCGCGTGATCAAGCGCGAGCTCGGCGGCGTCGGCGCGGCTGCACAGCGCGACAGCGGCCCCTCTCTGCTCGAGGAGAGCGAGCGGGTCGCCAGGTGCAGAGGGGAGACGCCGGGAGCCCTCCCCTACCCCACGGTACCCGGCACCACCCTCCCCTACCCCACGGTACCCGAACCCACCCTCCCCTACCCCACGGTACCCGGCACCACCCTCCCCTACCCCCACGGTACCCGAACCCACCCTCCCCTACCCCACGGTACCCGAACCCACCCTCCCCTACCCCCACGGTACCCGAACCCGTGGGAGACGCGAGAGCCGCGCTTGTGCGCGCTTGCGCGTGGAGACCGTGTCGCCGCCCTCCCTCCTCCAAGGAGCGGTGGCGGTCCTCCCTCCTCCAAGGAGCAGTGGCGGTCCTCCCTCCTCCAAGGAGCGGTGGCGGTCGAGCCTGCGTCTCCGCGGTCGTTGAGCCCACTCTCCGCGGAGGGGAGCTTCCGCAGTGCGCAGACCTTGCAGTCGCGCACCGCATATCTCCCCCATATCTCCCCCATATCTCGTCCCTAGAAGCGGAAGACGCATTCTCGTACTCCAACCAGCGCTCGAGAGGACACACCTCCCCATATCTCCCCCATATCTCCCCCATATCTCCCCCATATCTAGCACTCGAGAGGACACACCTCCCCATATCTCCCCATATCTCCCCACGCTAGGTACGTCATCGACAAGCACGCGGAGAGCGAGGGTGCTCTCGGCGACAAGGGCAAGGTGCAGCCGATCGTGCGGCAGAGGAGCGCCGAGCGGAGCACAAGCGCAGCCCAGGCCACGGCTCTGCAGACCGCCAAGGCGCCAAATTGAAGCTCCGGAGCTCAGCGCATGCCTAGGAGCGAGGGCCTACGTTGTGGACTGGTACGTTGTGGGGTTGTGGGCAGACAAGCACTAGCACAAGCACGTTGTGGGCTGGATCGTGATTCGTGACGCGCGGATTAGGATTACAGGGACCGTCAGGGTACTGACTGTACGGTACAGTAGCTGGAAGCTGCGATCGGCAGTCGGCCCACAGGCGCATTGGCCGCCACCGCACACAGGATTTTAAGGATACAGTAGGAGTGTTGGTGCTAGCTGCTAACCGTCTCATCCATCCGCCCCACGCGGTCGGCCGTCGCCTCACAGCGATCAGCGTGCGCGAACTTCTTTTAGAGCCGATTTGTTGAGTATTTAGTTTTGGCTAGTTGCTTCCAATTCACTCTGACACGTGAGACGCTAATCTTGAAAACGTCCAACGGAGCTCCGCCGTGTTGCTACCAGCGCCCTCCCCCGCGCTCCCTGCGTCCATGGCCGATGATGCTAGTATGTGAGGTCATCTGGCTACCGCGAGAGCGACCCAACTCGTCGACATCGTCCGATGATGGTGCCTCAAAGTCAGCCTTCGGAGGCTATCGTGGGGTCGAGCCGGCGGTGGCCGTGACATGCGTTGCTGGGAAGGTGGACGAGCCGCTCGAGGAGCGGGACGAGTCGGCTCGTGCCACCGGTGGAGAATTCAGTATGCCGCAGGCGGCTCCCACCTCGTAGCCGGCGTGCACCGCGTTGCTGACCGGCTTCGTGCGAGAAAGAAAGAAAAATAAAATATTCTTAGCTTCAAGCCCCCCTCCGAGACTGGAGACAGTCACACCCCAGTATCAGACCAGGGGGAGTGCCCCCCGCCCCCACTTGCCCTGACTACACAGGATAGCATGCCCCGATAACGGCGACACCTAGTGGGGGACACTGCGCAAGGAGGGGGTGCGAAGGCTCATTGGGGTGCTAGGTGGGACCATGAGGGGGGGTGGGCGGGGTCCTGTGGGGGTGAAATGTTGCGCGGCGAATTCGAACCTACCCCCTCGCCGCGCCGATCCTCACGCGGAGGGTAAAACCCTGTGGGACAAAACCCCCCCGCGGTCGGCAGTCTTCAGAGTGGACCCCCCCCTCCCCAGCCTCCCCTGTGCATCTCGCACCCCCCCCCGCTCCCCATCGGTGACTCGCGAAGGACACGGACACTCGGGGTGAGGGGGGGTCCCCCAGAGAGGGGGCTTTGGGGCATTGTTGGGTTGATCGCTCGTGCCGATCTCGGGTCGATCTCGGGTCGATCTCGGGTCGATCTCGGGTCGATCTCGGGTCGATCTCGGGTCTCGGGTCGGTCTTGGGCGGGTCGGTCTCGGAGTGGTCTAGAAAGGAAAAAATGGGGCGAGATGAGGCGAGCTGAGGCGAGGTGAGGCGAGGTGGGGGGCGAGATGAGGCGAGATGAGGCGAGATGAGGCGAGATGAGGCGAGATGAGGCGAGGTGAGGCGAGATGAGGCGAGGTGTGAGGCGAGATGAGGGTTGAGCTTGAGTCGAGGTGAGGCGAGATGAGGCGGCGAGGTGAGGCGAGATGAGCGGCGAGGTGAGGCGAGATGAGGCGAGGTGAGGCGAGATGAAGCGAGGTGAGGCGAGATGAGGCGAGATGAGGCGAGATGAAGCGAGGTGAGGCGAGATGAGGCGAGCTGAGGCGAGACTAGGAGGCGAGATGAAGCGGGATGTTGTGTGGCTGCTTGTGCTGCCAAGCAGGCAGCACAAAAGCAGCCATACAAGTGAGCTTTTGGGTTGTGTGGCTGCTTGTG